ATATGGGTTATAGGTAAGATAGTACCATCTCCAATAAAAACCATGCAAGGGCCATGGTAAGGAATCATACATTGAATTTGAGAGTTGTCATCTGTCATATGAGCAATTGCACCAAAGTCCATAACCCAAGAACGATTAGTTGGGGCAGTGGCTGATAGATTGATGAAATCATTAATGTCCCAGCAATTTTTAGCAATGTGTCCATGTCTCCCACAATACGGGCAAGTTCCCCTAGGTTGCATACCCATTCTTGCCTGAAAAGGTTGATGGTAAGATGGACTTCTTCCAAAGATGCCTTGCTGAAATTGGTTGCGACCTCTACTTCCATAATTGAAACATCATCGACTATATCGTCCTCTATGTTGTGTTCTGATGATGTGTTCATTAAGGCTTGAGGATTACTTTCAATCACTTATGAAGATACAAACCGAGCCTTATATATGAGAAGAGAAGATCGAAGCTCTGAAAAGGATGGAAATTGAGGTTTGGTCACCAAGGAGGTCTCAAAGGACTTAAACTTTGGACCAAGATCTTTGAGAGTATAGAGGATCATATCTTGATCACTTACAGGACTACCAATTGCAACAAGATGGTCGCATATAGTTTTGAACTTGTTTAGGTATTCAGTCACTGATTGAGAGCCCTTTTGTAAACTGATCAATTCAATTTTAAGTTGAAGAACATTGACAAATGTTTCATTCTGATATGTGTTATAAAGCATCTCCCACACTTTGTCAGTTGCCTTCAGGTGCATCACCTCAGTGAGCAAGTCATCGAATAGAGTAGAAAGTAGCCAACTCAATAGTGTTTTGTCTTTCATTCGTCATTCTAGAAATTTAGGGTTCAATGATAGTTTTAGATTGGTGCCTTGATTTTATTTTGATTTCTCATAAATAAATTCATTTTGTGGCCGACTAGATCCATCAAGGTGACCTTCAAAGTTTAACCCTTCAATACAATTGAATCATTGTTCTTTCCATTTGAGGTAGTCGTCCATATTTAGTTTAATTGATATAAACATTGGAAAATTTAGTGAGGCCATGACCAAGAATGTGATTTTAGAAGATTTCCAAAAAAACTTTGGTATTTGAGAACAACTTTCAGAGTCGACTTTGGAAGGTAGTACTTTGGTACGAAGAGGCTTTTATAAGCAACGTGACTTGCCTTGAAAACTGAAAAGGACAAAGTTCTGTATTCGTGGCAAGAGAGAGAAGAGAAGACAAGTATTAAAATAAGAGCAAAAGTTTGTTTTTATACTCAAAAGAGGCTTGCCTTGAAAACTGCAATGGACAAAAGATAAAGCTTTATGTTTGTGGCAACAGAGAGAAGATACGACTATTATTGGAAGAACAACAAGACGTGCATCAGATAAGGAAGCAAAGTTTGCAAAAAATCACATGCACGACATAGTTCAAAAGCTAAGTGTTTAAAGAGAGAGAGAGAAAAGACAAGGAGATAGAAAATGAGGTACTAGCGAGAGAAGCAGAGAACGCTGTAGAAACATAGATAGGAGCAGAGGCCGATTGAAAACAGAGAATGGTAGAGAGAGAATATAAATGTGTAATGAAAGAAGAGGGTTTTACCGCATCAGAACTGTAGAATGAAGAGGAATTACAAGTGGATTTTTGCAGGATCAAAACAACAGAAAAAGAAGAATAAGAAGAGAGAAATGATTTTCTCTCAAATAAAGAAGAAGAACGAGGAGAATAAGAAGTGTGTTTTTCATCTCTCTTTACATTGTTCTATCTCCTTCTTTAGTATTTTTGGCTGGGTGATCGTTAAAAGAGTAATGATCCTATAGGACCCTCCATCACCCATGTGTGTAGGACCCAAAGGATCACTATTAAAATTGGCACGGATCTCTAGAAAAGTTATTATATGAATGTGAGACTTGACTTTTCTAGAAATCCATTTTAATTTGAATGTGATCCTTTGGGTCCTACACACATGGGTGGAAGAAGGTCTTATATGATCATTTCTCTTGTTAAAAAGGAGCATTGCAGAATATTAAGATGGGTTTAGTTGGTAATATTGTGTAGGGCATTCTTTCATTCTTGACGAGGCCGTTGTTAAGAGCGAGAGATTGAGATTGTCTTTAGTAATATTGTGTGGGGCATTCTTTCATTTTTTATCTTTAAAGGTATTCCTGTCAACTGTATATATATGTAAACTATTTGTAAATAGTCGGATAATGAATAAAAACGAAGTCTTTCACTCTCTTTTAAGGATTTCATATTCTATTATGGTATCAGATCTTTTGAACTTCTACTTCTCAACAAAAGTATAATTTTTTATTCCTAAATTATATCATTTTTAAACAATTATTTTAATTTTAATTTTAATTTTTTGTAGTTTGGGGCCCAATTTCTTCTCTCTAGCTTATAGTTTAAAAATTATTCTAATTCTTATTTTTAATTTTCATATTTTATTTGGGTACTCATATTTCTTCTCTCAGGTGTATATTTTTCAAAAAAATGTTCTATTTTTTTTTTTTGAGTAATTCAGTGGGGATGACAAGCAGCTTCCCGTTTTGAATCAATTAGTGTTTTTTGAAATTGTCGGGAGCTGAGTTATGGGGTGTGCTACCACCACGACCTCAACCCCTTTCTTGGATCTGGATAAATAATGTAAGAGATTCTTGGAAGATGAATATGTTTTATAAATAAATTGGGATTGTATGCAATGAGACCATTTATTTTTGGCACAAGGTAGTCACAATTCCCTACAACCATTTGATGTGAAATTTGATAGCTTGGATGTGCCACAAAGTTAAAAAAAATTTCCTTTGAAGTTTGAGCTTGGTCAATGGAATAATTGCAACCACTCAATTTCACATCCGATAGTCATGATTATTGTGACCACCTTGTATTGAAGGTAAATGGTCTCATTCTATACTTTCTCAAATAAATTTATGTGAGAGTTGAAACTTTACAAAAGAAGAAAATGTTGACTTTAGAGGATAAAGAAGAAAGAGAGGTCTTTGAGCAATTCAAAAGTCATTTCCTACTTTGCTCCCTTCTCATACACACAATGAAATGAGCATGTGTGCAAAAATTTAAATCCAACCTACTCCGCTAATAATTTAATGGGATTGTATACAATGATACCAGTTATCTTTGATACAAGGTGGTCATAGTTGTTTACAACCATATGATGTGAAATTTGATAGCTTGGATGTGTCACAAAGTTGGAGAAAATTTCTTTTGAAGTTTGAGCTTGGTCAATGAAATAATTGCAAGCACCTAATTTCACATCCCACGTTCGGTCAAGATTAATGCGACCACCTTGTACCAAACATAAATGATCTCATTCTATATTTCCCTGATATAATCTCATTGGCTTATATGATTTTTTTATTTTCATATGTAGTCACAATACTAATGAAATGCTATCTTTATGGATCCAGTGAATGAGATTTTGGACGAGGGGAGCACGATTCACAATTTTTAGCATCACATTAATTTATTATTATTATTATTATTATATCACTATTATTAATACTATTTCTGTTATTATTTTATTATTATATTATTGTAATTATTATTAGTAGTACTAGTAGATTAATGGGATGCAAAGTGTCAAGTTAGGTCAAGGGTCCCCAAAGACACCTCATTGTACTTATCTCTGCCTCATTTTTTTATATTATGTATTGTATAGATCTTACTTATCTCTGCCTCATTTTTTATATTATGTATTGTATATATAAGAGATTGATCATGTCAGCCCCACAAGCTAATAGTTACAGTGTTAGTCAATGGCCCAGATTGAATCTGGGTATGATCTAATGGTTACGACCTTATTTCGTATTTTAATTTTCATATTTATTTTTACAAATTCAAATCATTTGAAATTTTGAGCGTCTATTATTTTAAAAAAAGTAGAATCTAATAAAAATATAAAAAAATAATATGTAAAAAATAAATTGACTAAAATACCCTGAAAACTTTTTAGTGGTATTTTGATCAATTTATATTTTATAAATTATTATTTTTTAATATTTTTATTAGGTGCGTCTTGGTGAGAATAATGAATGCTTGAAATTTCAAGTGATTGAGATTTGTAGAAAAAAAATGAAAATTCAAATAAAAAATGAGGTTGTGACCGTCAAAATGACCCATATTTAATCTGAACCATTGACCAACACTGTAACTATTAGTCCAAGCGCTTACAGATCCATTTTCACACACACACACACACATAGACACACACATACATACATATATATATATATATATATATATATATATATATATATATATTATTGTCGTCTAGTTCTTAGAATTAACTTAGTTATTA